ATAGCAACCGCCTGGCAACGGAGATGTTGAGGCTTGTATTGGCCGCCGGCGCCGAGCCCTGGGCCGCCAACCAGCAGGGCTGTACTCCTCTACACGAGGCTTGCCAAATGGGCAACGCGGCGGTGGTGGCCGAGTTGGCTTTGATGACGCCGGAGTTCGTTGAGGAGGCGAGTCGTCGGTTCCCCGACGACCAGACGCCGCTGCATGTGGCCGCGATGACTGCAGCCGCGAATCCCGGTCTGTGGGGCCCGGTAGAGATTTGTAGAATGCTGGTGGAGGCGGGCGGGGCCGATGTGAACGCCGTCGTCCGAACGCCGAGCCGTCCTGACCCGGCGACTGCGCTCGATTTGGTCTTGTCGGACCGGCCCGACGACGCCAACAGCGTCGGTACCGATTGCGTTGACACGCTGCGACGATTGGGCGCGAAAACATGGCCCGAGCTGCTACGGGCCGAGGCGGAGGCGAGCCCATCTGCCGGTGGCGTCGAAGAGCCTGCGCTACAGGCCGGTCAAGCTGGCACCGACGTCGTCGACTCCAGCCTAGTCGAGTCGAACGGGCTGGCTAAAGAGGAGGAAAGTCGGTCTCTTGCCAAGTCTGAAGACGACGAGGCCGCAGGAGACGGCGACAAAAAGGATGACCAACCATCCGGAAGGAGAGAAAACCTCGAGAGATCAGAGGTCGAGACGAGCAAATCGAAAAAGACTACATGCCCTCAAATGGCATCTACCAAGACAACAACCATGCTTGCCCAAAAATCTGCGTTAGCCTCTCCCTCCCCATCCTCATTCCCCTCTTCCTCCTCCTCCTCTTCCTCTTCTTCGTCCTCCTCTTCCTCGCCCTCTTCCTCCTTTTCCTCGACCTCTACTTCTCTCGCCTCGTCAGGGCCTCCATCTTTGTCTCTCGCCGAACGGGCTTCAAGCCCATTATTCCTCTACCATTTTACTCCTCTCGCGACAGAAAGTTCAGATCCACAACTCTCAGCACCGTCCAAGCCAGCAAAAAGGACTCAATCTCTGGCCTCGCCTGCAACAAAAAGACGCAGCTCATCTGCCCTTTCACCACCTGACGCTTGTCCACGGCAACCGAGTCCAGTTTCCACCTCCTCAAAGTCAGGATTCAGTGAAGAGGATGATCAACTGGCCGGTGGTCACAAAAATGGCGTTTTGCAAGAGGTTCTTATGCCATCAGAGACAAAAGGGGACACCTCAAAGCCGGACAAACAAGGCTTACAAGCGGAAGCATCTCAACAACCGGTAGGACGGCCAGGTGAAAAACACCCGGAAACAGACCCATCTCAGTCGTTAAGCCCAGATTTGCTTCCTCGACAGACGAGTTCTCCGGACGCCCCAATCAGGCTGGATCAGCAAGATCCACAGACCAAGCACACTTGCGGTACCTCCGGCGTGTCAACTCAGCCTCACGAGGGCGACCAAGAGCCGGCCCAATTCGTTCGGCCAGAAATGGAGAAAGCACAGGTTGTCATGGCACCTCATCGCTCGAAAGTCAACATGACTAGTCTGCCACCAAAGCCAGTATCGGCCCAGACCAAGGGCAATCAAGAGAGAATGTCTGATATGCAGATGGGGGGCTGTGGTGATGGCAACCCATTGGTGGTGCGAATTCCGACACCCGCCTTGGAAGAGGAGCCAAGGCCGGCTGAATCGCCTCCTAAAAAGTCGGCAAAGGTAGCAACTAAGTTGAGCAAACCAGACGTGGAGGCCGTGGGAGTGGGAATGAGATCAAAGCGAGCCGAAGGTGGCCAGAAGAGCCGTAAAGGCTCACTCGATGATCGAGAAACGCAGACCCTCTCGGAGACGAATACCGACGCGTCTACTCCGTCCGTCCGGCCGCCAACCACCAGTCGGACACTGTTGCCTGGGCGACAGACGAGAAGCCGATCGCAAGAGGACAAAAGACGGTCAACCGGCACAGACGGGAGGCTGTCGGGCGTCTCGAATGACCGAAACAAGTTGGCGTCGGGCAGATCGAGTCGAAGAAGACACGAGCGCCGACCGACGTCCTATGAAGAGCTGGCCCAGTCTCTGGGTCTTCTCCCCTCCCGGAGACGTCTTCCGCCGCCGAGCCTCAGTCCCTACCTACAGCCGGTCTTGCCAACCGTCAGACCCTCTTTTATCAGCATGTCGCCCACTCTTCCGCATCAGAGGTCCCCCAGTCTCCGAGGCTCCAGACTCGGCCCACCGGCACCGGCACCGGCAGACGCCAAAGCCCCGAGTCCCCTGCGGCGACGATCTGCCTCGAGTCGGCGCTCCCAATCGCCCAAGACCAACCTGGACGAGCCAGACTGGTTGGCCATTCGACAGGCCGCCATTAGTAGGGCGATCGCGCGGAAGGTGCGCCTCAGTGTGGCCGATTACGAGTTCGCCCGAATCACGGCACAGTTGGCCGGACAATTTGAGCATCTCTCCAAGCAGGAGAGGGCGGCCAAATCGGCAAACATGAGGTTAATGCAAATTGTATTGCTGTATCACCCCATTGCCTAGACGAAAGTGTATCGGCCAGGTTCTAATTGATGCGAGTACGTTTCAGGCCCAGCATGAAATGGTGAATGCGAATTTGAGTAATCCTGGCTTGCTTGAGTTGATTTAAGGACTGGTTTCTCATTTTTAGGTAGTCAGTTTACGACACTTTCATCACCGATTCCCTTATCGCCTTAAATGAAATAGGGTGAATACATCTTTTTAAATTGGCTTATTTGCTAGGGTTTTATGCAAACCAACAAAAGCGGTTGTTTGCTTACAAATTTTATTTCTGGTTTGTGGTGGGGTTGTTTTTTAGCATAATTTAAAATGATTAAAATATTATTTTAATATCATAAAAATAACTCATTTTTACCCAACTTAATTTGAAATAAACCGAGGTTTTTGGACTTTCTTTATCTCGTGTGGTCGATTACGAGTTCGCCCGAATCACGGCACAGTTGGCCGGACAATTTGAGCATCTCTCCAAGCAGGAGAGGGCGGCCAAATCGGCAAACATGAGGTTAATGCAAATTGTATTCCTGTATCACCCTATTGCCTAGACGAAAGTGTATCGGCCAGGTTCTAAATGATGCGAGTACGTTTCAGGCCCAGCATGAAATGGTGAATGCGAATTTGAGTAATCCTGGCTTGCTTAAGTTGATTTAAGGACTGGTTTCTCTTTTTTAGGCAGTCAGTTTACGACACTTTCATCACCGATTCCCTTATCACCTTAAATGAAATAGGGTGAATACATCTTTTTAAATTGGCTTATTTGCTAGGGTTTTATGCAAACCAACA